CAACGATTTTTATAAAAATTAGTATACAGGCGATTTCGGGGGCGATAAATCGATCTAGCTACGATTTATTTTCAGAAAATGTTGCTTTATTCGTGTTTTCAATAATCAACTTTATCGATAATCAACTTAATGCCTCTTCCCGACATCTATTGGCGAATTAACTAACTGCTTTAAAGACACAATAACACTAAAGCTATTTCAGCAGATGGCGTTGTTAAGCCACCCGAAGCCTCTTAAAAATGCCTTTTTTTTATTGCCCTTGTAGGCAGACGACTAGCATACGGCCCACCTGATGGTGAGTGGTTACCGTCGCCCATGGACTTCAGCAATGCCAGGGGCAGAGCCAAGCCGCTGCCTACCGTAAGCCAAGCCGCTGCCTACCGTAGCCAAGCCGCTGCCTACCTAAATATAATTTCTAAAAAATAAAATTTATAAAAAAAAAATAGCAATGCTCGGTCATCATCTAGTGTATAGATTAATCATGATATAGATATTTTATCTATTGTAATCTAAGGCGCGATGTTCAAATCTCACCTTAACCTAATCATTGCGCAAAACACTAATGAGCTGGAGCAGTGTAATAACATTCAGAAACCATTAACCATTAACCCGATGACCCGGTGGCATTAAAATTATGATTTTTCCTTTTGATTCAATCATTAACATAATATGTTTTTATGTTTTTTTTTTTTTAATTTAGCTGAAGAATAATTCATGTCTCTCTGTTATTTGATAAATTCGATGTGTATCTTTATCAACAGACCCACTGAGTATTTCGTTGAATCTGCTCTGTGGCCGCGATTCCGATCCGGTGGAAGAATCAACGAAGCACTGCTCTTGCTAGGGCCAGTGTTAGCAGCATCTCTGAGGCTGATGCCCACGAGTTTGGCCATCAGTCTGGGATAGCCCCTTGAGGACACAAGCGATTAGGGATTCTAAGAGAGCTAAACATCCGAAAAAGGCTCTCTTCCATCTGCCGGGAACGTGATATGAGCTTCTTCGGACACATCATGCCGTCTCCCAGACATTACTGGTGGTAGGACCTCTTGTGAGTCCGCGCGGGTCGCGTGTCTGGTTGTAGTGTTGACCGCGGGAACCCCCCTATTCTGACCAGGTTCTGACCCCGGACGGACGTCGGGTGTAAGACTGCAGGGGAGTCGTTTAGTAGGTGGGCCCTAAAATCCTTGGGCCTGCGATCTGCTCTCAACACCGGCAGATCGTTGAGTCTCACATACCCCGCGCGCCCCTAGGCGCGGGGACCTCGTAGGAGGTTCGGCCCTTAGCCCGAAAAAAATAAAATACCATCACCCTGCCTATTTCTGCCGTGAAGCAGTAATGCGTTTCGGTTTGAAGGGTGGGGCAGCCGTTGTACAGCATTTACGTTGTAGATGTCTATGGACTCCAGTAACCACTTCACACCAGGTGGACTGTAAGCTCGTCCACCCATCTAGCATTAAAAAAAAATGGATTAGAGAAGCTCCTAGCGGGTCGCACAGAAGGCAAGCGCGCCGTGGGCAGTACACCATCCAGATGGCCAGATCTAGTAAGAGAAGCACTTGGTGGTAGTCTGTACCAGGGGGTCCATGCCACCCATGATCGAACACGGTGGAGGAACGTCACATGTGGTCGCGATCCTCAGCAGTGAGGGAACGATATACTAGGAGAAGAGGGAGGATAAAAAAAGCTCCTGTGACGGCATGGTTTCTATGTCAGACACAGTAGCTGTTAGTCGGGCATAGGCGATGCTGTACTACTCGTACAGATCGCCATTTTCTGATCTGGCAAGGCTTCTGTAAGGCTGCGTTTCCACCAAAGATATGGGAAGATAGGTGACGAGGGACGTGTTTGTTACGAACCAATAGCATCACTTAATTAACCTAAATTACCTAATTTTGAGTCGTCGTGGCCTAAAGGATAAGACCTCCCGTGCATTCTTGTTGAACGATGCACCGGTGTTCGAATCCCTCAGGCGGGAACCAATTTTTCTAATGAAATACGTACTTAACAAATGTTCACGATTGACTTCCGCGGTGAAGGATCTATCGTCTAATAAAAATCAAACCTGCAAAATTATAATTTGCCTAATTACTGATGGTAGGACCTGTTGCGAGTCCGCACGGGTAGGTACCACCACCCTGCCTATTTCTGCCGTGAAACAGTAATGCGTTTCGGTTTGAAGGGCGGGGCAGCCGTTGTAACTATACTTGAGACCTTAGAACTTATATCTCAAGGTGGGTGGCGCATTTACGTTATAGATTTATATGGCCTCCAGTAAACACTTAACACCAGGTTTTTTTTTTTTTTTTTTTTTTTATTGCCCTTGTAGGCAGACGAGCATACGGCCCACCTGATGGTGAGTGGTTACCGTCGCCCATGGACTTCAGCAATGCCAGGGGCAGAGCCAAGCCGCTGCCTACCGCTAAACCGTGGGCTACGAGCTCGTCCACCCAATTAAGCAATAAAAAAAGGCACTTAACCATAAAGCTTTTCACCCCCTGACGTTTCCAGAATACTATAATACTACTACTGCGCTGGTACTATGACCCCGAAATGGGTCTTGGTCTCTGACAACAAGCTTTGCCTATCATCCCTGCGCTGCGCAACGCCTTGCCACTCCGACACTTAGAGTTCACGTAAATTTCCTTCCACAGCCTCAGACCAGCGGTACTTTAATCTTAAAAAATAAATCTACAGTGGTTTTTACGGATGTTCCCTTATAACTACTGAACCATGCATCCGATTGACTTGAAACTTGGTATCCATGTAGAAAATACATGTACTTAATAGATAGGCTAATATTTATATGAGCGTTGGACTCCCTACACCAGTTGTAGGGGCGTTAATGATGAGAATCTTTGTGGGGGTGAGAATTAATAATGTTAATTTTAAATGTCCAGTGAAGCGGACGGGTACAGTTAGTTTATTATAATAATAATCTATATCTATATCCATACTAATATTATAAAGAGGAAAGATTTGTTTGTTTGTTTGTTTCGAATAGGCTCCGAAACTACTGGACCGATTTGAAAAATTATTTTTCCATTAGAAGCCGACATTGTCCCTGATGAACATAGGCTACTTTTTTTTATTTTTTTTTTGGTTTCATGTGTGTTTTAATGTTTCCGAAGCGAAGCGAGGGCGGGTCGCTAGTAAGTAATAATTTGATTGCCAATATACATCATCAAAGAATTTAAAAACTATTTACCGTACGAAGGCGTGTCTCGAGAACGAAATGCAAATTAGATTTTTAAGGTTTCATTGCCTAATATCGGAGTGTCGATCTTTTTATTATTAACCGGACTTTAAAAAAGGAGAGGAGTTTCTCAATTCGACTGTTTTTATGTGCATTAATTAGTTAGACAGAAAGAGACAGAGAGAGACGGGGAGAGAGAGAGAGAGGGAGAGACAGAGAGAAATAATAGAATTATTAAATGCACACTGAAACACTACATTAAAAAAAAAGTCAACAAGTAGATACTTTTGTACAATAGGCGGTCTTATCGCTAAAAGCAATCTCTTCCAGACAACCGTTTAATTTACAGAAATTCTAGAAAAGATAAAGATACAATAGGTATGTTACGGTATTACTATTAATAATACATTGTTAAAGAAAATATATATAGGTAAACAATAAATAGATATATACTCAGAACTTTGAAGTTGCTATTCTTTTTAATACGCTTTTATACTTTTAGCTTCATACATATGTTTTAGTATGTATGTTAGTGTGTAACGGAGATGGAGGAGATGTATGGAAATGGTAGTGCAAGGTAGGGGGGGAAGAGGTCGACCGAAGAAGACATGGATGGAGTGTGTGAATGACGATATGAGAGAGAGAGGAGTAAGTGTTGAGATGACGGCTGATAGAAGAGAATGGAAGAGAAAAATTTGCTGTGCCGACCCCACCTAGTGGGATAAGGTGGAGAAAAAGAAAGAAGAAGTTAGTGTGTAACGGAATCTTTGAACATGATTTTGACCCCCTTCAAAACGTCATAATAACTCGGAATTTGGCATACTTAGAAAGGACCGATGACAATTCAATATTTTAAACAGTTTGATCCGTTATCCTTACTAGGATAATCAGGATTAGCGATTTTTTTGTTTTCCTGAGACCCGAAGTGTCTGCGTCAAGACCAAGAAGGAAAATTAACTACCAGGCGCGCCGATCGTCTTAATTCTCGGATAAGCTACCGACTGATAAAGAGGAAATTTTTTAAAAATTGAAAAACATAAAAAATTGAAAATTGAAATTAAACTTTAAAAAAACTAAAAAAATACGCTTTTATAGAAAACCCAACTAAAAAATAGAAAATAAATTTTAATAAATTTTAATTAAAAATAGTTTAAGAAAAAATGATTTTATTGTAAAAAAAGCGTGGGGTGCATATGGTATCAATATTTTGATAATATCCTAGTTTTCTTTTTAACTATTATTTATTTATTATGCTTTTTTTCGTATTAATTCACTACTATTTCATGTCAAGTGTTCATACCACGTTAGTAATAAGTAGGCTAATGTAATTGTTTAATGTATCATATTGTGAATACATTTTTTTTCCTTACATTATAAGTTAGATTAGTCGTAATTGTAAGGAACGTTGTTATACAAATTCAGCATGTCTTGTTTTGTCGTGCGCACATAACTTATGTTGCAAGCCAGATTTTGTTTCTTTTTACTTGTGTTTTTTATGTATCTTTTTAGCTTGTGATGTGTATTGTGAGTCTAATAAATAAATAAATAAAATACGCGATGTCTTTGGTTGAGTTCAAACACAATCAAATACCAATATTTAGAATGAATTCACAAACTACTCCCAAGCTGAACAGTCATTAACACTTCAACCTCATCACGTCTCAAGGCTACACTTGACGCCAACTAACCGACGAGAATAAATAACGGTCAACTTTTAAAAAAAAGTTACAAAAAAACCTCACCAAAAAAATTATCTTTATATGCTTTGCATTTCAATTTAGAAATTACAAAAAAGAAAAAAACTCACCAAAAAAATAGCGTTGAGCCTCATAACTTAGAAATTTGAAAACGCTGATTCAGAGTCAGATTAAAAATTCAGACAAAATGAATACAAGAATTAAAAATTAAAAAAAATTGTATTAAAATATATTCCAATGAAATATTTTCCCGCCGTTTTGCCAGCGCACTGTAATGGCGGCGGCTTGTGTAAGCGTACTACACGTGACTGCACTTTGAGAAGAGCTTAAACAAGTGGCGACCTCCGACCCATCTTATGTTACGTCTGATATATCTGAATTAGTGCTATGCAGAAATGAACCAACGATTAATAACAGTTTTAACATTTCGGGGGGAAATCCTCATGGACTACCTCCGCCTGGGGAAAGGCGGAGGGGCGTGCCGGACTCCGGCTAAAACCACCCCGGTATCTCCCCACAAGTGCGCGCGGGGCCGCGGTAATCGAAATTCTTCCGCAGTCCCACACTAGTGCTGGCCCAGTCTGTCCAGGCCTCGTCTCGGGGTAGTGAGGTGTTCAGCTACCCCGTGCATCGTCACAGAGGCACGCGCCTCTGCTTCGGGTCCATCGAATAGGGGGCGGGGGCTTTTCCAAGTCCCTCGCCCCTGGAAGGGTGGTGATACCCGCGCGAACTCACAAGAGGTCCTACCACCAGTAATTACGCAAATTATAATTTTGCTGGTTTGATTTTTATTACACGATGTTACTTCACTTCCACTTCTCACACTAGCGCTATTTCGGTGAGTCTTGGTGAGTCATAGCTCGCTGTTTACTACAGGTGGACGCTTTTTCGACTTGTCCCTTATACAAGATTGTGCTCCTTACCTCCACCCGTCCAACAATGACTTGTTATTTACAGGCGGACACTTTTTCAACTTGTGCCCTATATACAAGACTGTTTGCTTCACCACTATCCGTCCATATTACATAGCAGCGTTAAAAGTATAATAAAATTGACACTTATAATTAATAACACAAAACGAAATCGAATTTTGAAGTCGTCGTGGCCTATTAGACGTCCGGTGCATTCGTATCTAGCGATGCACCGGTGTTCGAATCCCGCAGGCGGGTACCAATTTTTCTAATGAAAAACGTACTCAATAAATGTTCACGGTTGACTTCCACGGTGAAGGAATAACATCGTGTAACAAAAATCAAACCCGCAAAATTATAAATTGCATAATTACTGGTGGTAGGATCTCTTGTGAGTCGGCGCGGGTAGGTACCACCACCCCGCCTATTTCTGCCGTGAAGCAGTAATGCGTTTCGGTTTGAAGGGCGGGGCAGCCGTTGTAACTATACTGAGACCTTAGAACTTATATCTCAAGGTGGGTGGCGCATTTACGTCGTAGATGTCTATGGGCTCCAGTAACCACTTATCACCAGGTGGGCTGTAAGCTCGTCCACCCATCTAAGCAATAAAACAAAAAAGAATTTACTCTACAACAAATTTAATTCTTGATGCATCCATATTGCATAACGATTTTCGATAGTGTATATAATAATAACTTACCTGTTGCCTATTACGAAAGGACTACATTCCTTTCACTTTGATGTGATAATTTGACGGAAAGTCTTTAGGCAAATAGAATGTGAAAACATACTGCATAACGTTCGGATGAAGCCTTCTTAGACAACACACCAAAAAAAATCAAATTTGGAATGGAAATAATGGCGGTGTACAGTAATCCCCCTATAACGCGGTACCCTTATAACGCGTTTTCATATTACGCGATTTCAATCCCCCGTATAACACGGACATTCCCCCATATAACGCGAGGATTTCCCACATACATATGTCTGTACTGTGAAATTTATGATATGTACAGTTCATATTTAGCCTCGCGTACCTTTGCACGTTTTTCAATTGTGTTATTACAAAATTTAATTATTTTATAAAATTTGTGTATTAAAAGGTGTAGGTTAAATATCACTTTTGGAAATTTTGTTTAAAAAAAAAATATTGAAATATTAAAAGTTGAACGTGATGAATTATTTATCACGTAACGCGTTATACGAGGTCGTAAAACGCGTTATGCGAGAATACACCTATAACGCTACCGCGTTATAGGGGGTATTACTGTATTATGAATGAATACTAAAGATTTCGGCACCCTCAATGAACCTGTTACATTTGTACCGATTCCATTTTGACCGCGCACTTAGTAGAGGTCGCTAGGGTAATTATTGCACGCGGTGCTAGAGACGTCAATGCACATTCATGCGTTCTTCTTCTTGCTCTAATCCCACATTATGTGTGATGTGAGCCCCATGAGCTCGCCTACACATTCGGTGAACCTTGCATAGCCCCTGAGGCTACTTACAATATTCGTTTCTAAGCAATGACAGGATAGAAAAGATTAAGTCCGCCTTTAATTATAATAATAATTATAACTTTTTTAATTTAGGGCAAAAAGTTATATAAACATATTTGTAGGCAAAACAGTTTGCTACAAATTGTGACTTTACAAATTTTCTGTAAGACGCATAGTTTCCGAGATATCGCGAAAAAAGTGTTTTCACCCCTTTTTCCATAATGGCGGCCAGCAGACAAGGGTGGCAAGCCTACAAACCTGAGGTTAAGCTAATATTGATCCCCCACAGATGTCTCAAAAATAATATTGCGTCTCCTAAAAAAGCAAAGCTCATGTAACATTTCAATGGACTATACCCCCGGGGCCGGCTTAAGACATTTTGCCCTTAATTTATTAAAAATCGATTAATTACCTCGGAAAATCAAACAAGTTTGAATAGTAATACAAATATTAGATATTTGCGATAACCAAAAGAATTTGTTTTGCACAGTTCTAATTACCGTAGTAGTGTATTTCCTTGTTTGATTAGTTGACGCACAGATGATTATTTTCATTGATATATTGAGGACGAATACGAAGGAATTATTGGTTTTTCTGAAGAAACGCGATTTGACTTAGGCCTATATTGACATAACAACCGATTCTCGCCTGTATAACGAATGACCCAGAGTCCATTTTTAAAACAACGAAATTGTCAATTTGAAACTTAAGGCTCGATCCACACTATGCGGTTCTCGGTCCGATCTGCCTAACCGATTGCCCCACCCTACAAACCGAAACGCGTTACTGCTTCACGGCAGAAATAGGCAGAGTGGTGGTACCTACCCGAGCGGACTCACAACACGTCCTACCACCGGTAAATATTTATTCCTTCACTGTGTTAGTCTTTATTTACCATAAAAAAAAACCCATTTACACGATTTAAGCCGCGGTCAAATCACCCCATCTTTCAGCACACGAACTTGACAAATCCAATTTGCTGTTGTCCTCACTCAACTGGACAAGTTTAATACCAAACAAATTTGGCTGCATCTATTTCAAACCAAATATGACCCTTCAGAATACGAATTGGAAAAAAAAACACGCACACTTTCCACTTTCTCATCATCATACATTTTTATTCACATGATTAAATACATATTTTATCAAAAGCATTAAGAATAAGATCTGACATTATTATAATTAACATAATTAACGGTATATCTATAGGTACATTGAAATAAAATTAGAGCGTCTGTTTGTAGTATTGAAATAACCGCTTTTTACTACATGCATATGAATATATATACGGTATTTTGGTACATACACCAAAATAAAATTTTTTTTTTTTTGTCTGTCTGTTTGTTCCGGCTAATCTCTGGAATGGCTGGACCGATTTTGACGAGACTTTCACTAATAGGTAGCTGATGATATAAGGAGTAACTTAGGCTACTTTTTTAGACTAGCTTCGCCCCGCGGCATCACCCGCAGCTATTGTCGTACCGCGCGCAACATGGCGGACTTCGCCTATCAATAATAGAATTTAATGTTTCCGAAGCGAAGCGAGGGCGGGTCGCTAATTATTATATATATTCATTATACACGACCGTTTTTAACACAAAATTGTTTTCCTCGAAGTAGTGAGTGACCTTTGAAACAAATAATAGATTAGGTAAAAAAGTCTTTTCGCATTATAGTCTGTATGAACTTGTAATAAAATCTCTTTGGCTATACTATTTGTATCTGGCTGGTTTTGGTATCATTTAAAAGTTTAAATTTTAAGGAAGATAATTCCAAATTCAAATTAGGAAAATGTGTTATTGTTATTTGTTTTTCATGCCAAAACCAATTGTCGCGGTATTTTGATCAGAAGCCCCAAAATTTCTATAGCAATGGGATCATATCCCTATCTACAAGATGGCAAAAAGTTATCGAACAAAATGGTACCTACATACTTTAGTTAAATGTAAATAAACTATATTAAAAAAATGTTGTGAATTTTCTTAAAAAATGCGAAGAAACTTTTTCCCCGACCTATTACATAGAATAACAATTTTGCTATAAAACATACAAAGCATAGAATTTTGGAGCCATTTTACAACTAGGACATTGGAGACATGCAGCAGAACTGATGCTTCCTGACACATTAAAATAATCATAACCGAAAAATACCGTTCTCCGAAACACGCAATGGAACGCAATTAAAAATCAAATGACGCGTAGGATCAATGACCTCAATCGCTCGCCGTCTACCTACACTGTACATTGCTGGCTCACAAAAAATTACACGATCGATAATTTTTATTCTAAATTATTTAATTAATCATATTACCGTTTACTATAGCTTTCTGCTCTCCTATAAAAATATCACTTAAACCAAATAACCTTTCACATCCCGATGTACCTATTAAACAACGTTGGGACGGTCTTATTCATAATCAGCAATCAGAGCTTAATTAGCCCGTTATATAAGACTGTCAAAAAATGCTTTTTGTTTCGTTATAATCAATCGATCGAGTTAATGAGTTCATTAACACTACAATAAGATCAATTTGCATTAATAATTTTAATAAGCTTTTATTATGAATAAGACCGGATTTCAATTTGGATTGAGATATTTCAAACAATTTATTGGTTTCTGAATATTGATAATGACTATTTGGCTGTTTGTTGGGACACACTGCTAGCAGTGGCCTAGTAGTGGCTGTATGTACATAAAATCCGTCACATAGCAAATTAAAAAAAAAGGAATTTTAATTCATTTTGAACATTTTTAAATTTGGAGTTATCACCGTTTGTTTACCTAGTTGATCATAGATTAAAAATTGAAAATTACATTTAAAAAAAAAACTTAAGGCACATACATATATTTACAAAAACACATATTTTTTTTACATTTTTGTTCATTTCATTAAATTATTC